TATCTCGCCTACCTGTGGAGCCCCTTTGGCGAGCCGGGCAGCGACCTCTGGGTGCACGACACCCGCACCGGCAAGTCCACGCGGGTCACTTCACCGCAGGTGATGGCGGCGTTCGAGGCGCCGGAGGACATGGCGCGCTTCGAGAAGAAGCTGAACCAGCGCAACACCGAGTACGCCGAACGCCAGGCGCGCGAGCTGGCCCAGCAAGCCTATCTGCGCGGTGAGAAGGTCGACCTCTCGCAGTGGGAGACGGCCGCGATCGAGCAGCTCAAGAAGGAGCTCGCCGAGAAGAAAGCCAAGGAAGACGCCCAGAAGGCCGCCGACAAGGCCGAGGCGGATGCCGAGAAGTACGCCGCTGCCGTGCTGGCCGCCCAGCGCGCCGGCAAGCCAGTCCCTGCGCCCGCGCCGGCAGCTTCGGCCCCGGACAAGAAGGACGACAAGGCGAAGGAACTCTGGGAACTGCGCGACGAGCTGAAGAAGAAGCTCACCCGCGAGAAGCTCAAGCCCGCCGACCTCTACCCCGGCCCGGCGCAGTTCGTCTGGGCGAACAAGGCCGACGAACTCGTCTTCCAGTACCGCGGCGGCCTGTACCGCTGGCAGCCCGACGCCAAGGCGCCGACGCCGCTGGTCGCCACGCAGCGGGAGCTGCGTACGGTTGCCTACACGCCCGACGACACGGGCTTCATCTATATGGACGAGACCCGCGTGCTGCGGCTGTCGTTCAAGCAGGCCGGCGTGCAGGTGGTCAACCGTGAGCTGATCCACCCCGACGACGAGCAGAAGAAGTACCGCATCGAGCAGACCGCCATCAGCGAGGACGGCCGATGGATGTCCCTGCTGGCCAAGGCCCCGATCAAGACCGCGGACGACAAGCCCGCGCCGCCGGGGCGGCAGGTCGAGATCATGAACTACAGCGAGCGCTTTGCCACGGCCAAGAAGGTGAACCGTGAGGTGTCCGACGACAAGCGCACCGAGAAGCCGCTGGCGCTGTACATCCGCGCCGTGCCCACCGGCGCCGAGCCACCGCGCAAGCAGCCCGAGCCGGTGTTCACGAACAACGGGGGCGATGTCTGGTTCGAGATGAGCGACGTGGCCTGGGCCAAGGACGGCAGCCGGTATGCCTTCACGACCTGGGAGCGCGAGAAGGAACTGTTGCGCGTCTACCTGGGTCAGGCGTCCGAGAGCGCCAAGCCCGAGATGATCCTGGAGCGTCGCGGCGACGTGGGCCACGAGGTGGTCAATGTGCTCAAGCCCCGCTTCACGCCTGACGGCAAGACGCTCGTGCTGGCCCTGGACGAGGCCGGCTGGCGCCAGCCCTACGCCATCGACGTGGCCACGCGCGCCCTGCGGCCCCTGATGAAGGGCGAGTTCGAGGCCCACACTGTCATCGGCTTCACGGCCGACAGCCAGGCCATGTTCGTGCTGTCCAACCAGGGGGACAGCGCGGCCATGAACGTGCTGCGGGTGGACCTGGCCACGGGCGCGACGCAGCCCATCGGTGCAGCGGGCGAGTTCCACCGCAGTGCCGCGATGTCGCAGGACGGCCGCTGGGTGGCCGCCAACGCGGGCAACTGGGCGCGGCGTCCCGAGCTCAAGCTGCTCGCCACCGACGCCCGCACGCCGGCGCGCGTGCTGACCGACAGCAGCGACAAGGCCCTGGCCGACCTGAAGCTGCTGCAGCCGGAGCGCTTCGCCTACACCAACCGTCACGGGGACCGCATCCAGGCCTATGTCTTCAAGCCGGCGGGCTGGCAGGCCACCGACAAGCGGCCGGCCGTGGTGTATGTCTACGGCGGGCCGCTGAACGACCGGCACATCGTGGAGGTCGACAGCTTCCAGAACACCGCCTACCTGTTCGGCCAGTACATGGCCGCCAAGCACGGCTACGTGACGATCGCCGTCGACCCGCGCGGCCACAGCAACTACGGCCGCAAGTTCTCGGATGCGAACTGGGAGCGTGCCGGCGAGCCGCAGTCCGAGGACCTGGAAGACCTCGTCAAGCTGATGCCCGCCCAGTTCGGCGTGGACGGCAGCCGCATCGGCCTGAACGGCTGGAGCTTCGGCGGCTTCCAGACGCAGTACACCCTGTACACGCGGCCCGACCTGTTCGCCGCCGGCATTGCCGGTGCCGGCCCCACGGAATGGGAGAACTACAACAGCTGGTACAGCGGCCGCACCATCGGCAAGACCGAGCGCAGCAAGCCCAATCTGCGCAAGTACTCGCTGCTGCCGTTGGCCAAGGGCCTGAAGAAGCCGCTGATGCTCGTGCACGGCATGCAGGACCCGAACGTGCTCTACCAGGACACGGTCAACGTCTACCGCGAGCTGCTGGACTCGGGCAAGGAGTCGCTCGTGGAGCTTTTCCTGGACCCGGACGGTGCGCATGCGCTGGGCGGCGTCGTCAAGCCGGCCGGCTGGCACCGCAAGTACGAGTCCTTCTGGCTGCGCCACCTCGGGCGCGCCACGCCCTGATCAACCGCGCGCGGCGAGGGCTGCGTCCAGACGCCGCCACGGCGCCTGGCGGTAGTC